GCGCCCCGCCTCATAGTCTGAGATATGCTGAGGGTTTAGGGTTTGGGCTTTGGGGTTTAGGGCTTAGGGTTTAGGGTTTGGGGTTTATAGTGTAGGGCTACCGAGTGGCCGGCTGCTTAACATTGAGGGACGGCATAATTCCCCAAAGGTTGAAGTAGCATGTGGGTACGTACTCGGGGCCCTCCGCCATGTGGGCACTCTGGTGCCGAAGCAAGTGCCCTAAGTGCAAACCCTTTGCCTGCCTTACCGGAACATTCCAAGGGTCCATAACCCTAAACCCTAAACCCTATGACCCTAAACCCTAAACCCTTATGACCCTAAACCCTAAACCCTATGATCCTAAACCCTAAACCCTCAGACCCACCGCTTTCAGTCAACCTCAAGCGGCCTCAGAACTGAGGAACGATTGAAAGAGGAACCCTCTTTTCTGATCTGCTGGCCCTATGGTTAAAGGTGGTCCTCTGTTTAAGATAAGATTTGATGGCTTTATGGGGAATATATAGGGATCACGGTAAATAGAACCTGAAAATCACTTTTACAACCCACCCAATAAATCAACGACCCTAAACCCCAAACCATCAACGTCCCCCAAACCCTGGCCCAAACTTGGCATCCTCTGCTGGGCCATAGAAAGCCCAAACCCTACACCCTAAACCCTAAACCCTAAGCCCTAAACCCTAAACCCTAAGCCCAAACCCTACACCCTCTTAAGCCCTTGCCTCCAAACCCTAAACCGATCGACTCGAAGCCCTAAACCCTAATTAAGCTCTAAACCCTAAACCTCAAATCCGAACCCTAAACGCTAAACACAAACTCCCAACCCCTAGGGATCCAAATAGCCCAATGTAGGTAAGATTTACAGACTTTAGGGCCCAATGTAGGTATTATTTGTGTACTTGGATCCCTAGGGAACGCTCAACCACCAAACCTGCCCCCGGCCTTGGCTGCCTGGGAGCTTCGACCTAAAGCGCGCCAGGCGTCCCGGCGGCCCAAGGAGAGGCGCATGCCATTGTGGATGGACCATGATTTTGAAGGTTTCAGGGTCTAGGGGTTTAGGGTTTTAAGGTCTAGGGTTTAGGGATTTGGGTTTAACTGTTTAGGGTTTGGAGTTTTAGGGTCGAGGGGTTGGGGTTCAGGGGTTTAGGGTTTTAGGGTTGAGAGTGTAGAGGTTTAGGGTTTTAGAGTTTAGGGTTTAGGGTTTAAAGGGATCACAGAGGTTAGTAGGGTTTTAGGGTTGGAGGGATGTTGGGTGTTTGTGCTTCAAGCTTAAGGTTAGGGTTGTGGATTTTGTGTTAGCTCCCCTCCATAGTGTTGATGACAGAAACGGTGTACCACTTGGTGTCCATGAACTGCTGGGATTCCTGAGGAATTGGAATGGTCAGAGCCAACAATCCCTAAACACTAAGCCCTAAACTCTTAACCTCCCACCCAAAAATACTGAACCTTACACCCCTAAACTTTCAACCCTACACCGACTCTGTTGCGACGACCTTGGGCCTTTGCATCATTTCAAACCCTCACGAGCTATGTAGGGTTTTAGGGTTTTAGGGTCTGAGGGTTTTAGGTTTAGGGTTTATAGGGTTTCGGGTTTTAGGTTTGGGGTCTATGGGGTTTAGGGTTTTAGGGTTTGGGGTTTATGTTCTACTATAAGCAGACAAGGGATCCTGAGGGACCAACAGCCATGATTCAGACTTCCAAAGTAGGGATTATGTTTCGGGCTTCCCTCAAGCGCTAGATTGTGAACTGCTGTTCAAGTCATGTACCCATATTATGTCAAGCCTAAATCCAAAACCCTCAGAATCCTTAAGGGAACCTTGAATTGGGTAGCTATCAGATAGACCTCACATAGCCCCCGTTAGCCTTACACGAGCCTTACATGAGCTTTGTAACCTAAATCCTAAACCGCAAATCCTGAACCCCAAGTCCTAGATCCTAAACCTTAAAGCTACCCGCCTAAGAGTTTCCTTTGAGTTGTGGCACAGGGATTGGGTTGCATGTCGCAGGTGGGCACACAGTGGTACTTTCAGGGACCCAGGGAAATGGGTCTATGCAGCGATTTTCAAGAGCGATACAAGGACTGTAGGACTTTATGGCGAACATGAGCTATAACCTAAGCTCCTAGTAGCCCCCTTAAAACGCCCTATACTACTCCCGTAATTAATCTCCTATATACACCCCCTTTTAAGGAGTTTAGACTATGGCTCATATAAGGTTGCAGGTTTGTGGCAGACGGATCAGATTGGGGGCTTCCATGGCAACAAAATCTGATCTGGAGCCCCAGAAAAACCCAATTCAGCGGGGTTCTCTGCAACACTATATCTGTACGTTGCAAACGCCGTGCCGTTCTACTGCAATCAAGATCTATTGTCCCATGGCCCGCCCGTGGGGCACATAACTCATGAATACATCATTGTCATCGACTATTTCAAAAAAGTGTATATTCGCGCTTTCCTATCGTCTTCTGAAGTTCACGTGAGAACTTTTACTTTTGATTCTGCATTGCATTGTCCTTTCGTTCATGAACGATACATCTTGGTTTTTTTACACGAAGGAAATATTTGCCTCTACATAGCAGCCGGTCGTGCTTGGCTGTGCATATGCACAATGTAGGGTCTATCATGGCTGCATTTGCTATGCGAGTGTGCGAAGAGAGGTCTTCAGGATGCAACAGGTTAAACACGATTGCGACTGCCTGACGTATTTGCAAGGTTTTAGACCCCTAAGGGTCCAAGGACTCAAATTATTGGGGTTTTCGGCCCAAATACTATAATCTGAATGGTATCTGGGACCTGAAACCCTAATATTTGGGTCCTTGGACTCTTAGGGGACTGCGTGGAGACGGAGGAGGGATGAATGACGGGAAGGGAACCCGACATTATAAAAGCACAGAGGTGCATTGCACGCAAAAAGGGACACTATCCCCTAGACCTTGGGTACTGCCCCCCCCAGTAACAGTGGGTTATATTCGGATAATGGAAAATAAAATGCAAAGTACTATTTAGGGTTTAGGGTCTAGGGGTTAAGGGTTTGGGGATTAGGGTTTATATAGGTTTTAGGTTGGGTACTGCCCCCACTCAGTAACAGTCTATATTAGGGGTCCTATTAAGGGGTATATATAACCATAGTATATTTATTATCCAACTGTTACTGACGGCGGGCAGTGCCCAACCTAGACCCTAAACACAGGTGCAAGAGCCACACAACCAGTCAAGGAGATGGTTTGAAGAGGCCTGAAATGAGCGAGAAAAAGCCAAGACCGTAAACCCCTAAACCCTAACCCTAAGCCCAGCGAACCCTAAAAGGTAAAGGATAGCATGTCACGCAGAGATGTTTTTAAAAAGAAGGGTGTAGAAGGCTCAGTCATACCTCACAACCACATGCGACAGTTCTGAGCGAGATTCACACATATAACCGCCAAAATACACAGTATTGAGTTGAATTGAGGTTCTCAGGAGAAGCATTCCACACAAATTCGAAACGATAACCGACGGGCAGAATATTTTCACTTGAGCGAGAGAGCGAGCGAGAGAAACCTGTAGAAGGTGACGAGAGGCCGCATTTGGGGCCACTATGGGCTATTAGACCCTAAAATTCCCTTTTAGGACCCTGTTAAGGGTAGATTAAGGTACCCTTAAGGTCTAATAGCCCATAGTGGGGCGCAAGTGGTTTTAGCACTTTAAGCCCTTCCGGTTGATTGACTGGGGCTTCTGTACGGGTTACCACGTGTGCTTGTCTGCTTTGCTCTGTAAAACCTAAACCCCAAAACCCTACACCCTAAAACCCTAAAACCCTAAACCCCTTGTTTTCTGATTGTTCGAAAACCCTAAACCCACTGTTTTCTGACTGTTCTAGACAATTAACTTTGGTTCGCGGCTCAGCTGCTCTGCTGCTGTATCTTGCTGCGTCATGGCTGTGCAATAACAATAAGAAAAATCAGTGATTACAATGCTAGTGGTGGTAGTGGTAGTGGTAGTAGTGGTAGTAGTGGTAGTAGTGGTAGTAGTGGTAGTAGTGGTGGTAGTAGTAGTAGGAGTAGTAGTAGTAGTAGTAGTAGTAGTGGCAGTAGTTCTAGGAATGGCAATAGTAATTGGTAGTAACAGTAGTAACAGACAGAATAGTCAAAATAATTACAGCTTTCAAGATCCAGGTTGGATTCGCTGTTAGGCTTGTTTCTTCTCTGCATGCTTTCAAGGCAAGCTCCAATCACAAAGCTAAACACGGTTTAGGGTTTAGGATAGGGTATCAGAATTAGAGCAGAAGGCCGGAAGCATGTCCACCGACCACCCAAGGAGCTGCTAGTGGTTGTCATTGCAAAGGTTGCGATGCCCCGCTTGTAGTTGTCCGTCAACGGCTCCTGGAGCCACAGGGTGCAGAAGAAATGGTACTGCTCAGGGACTTGCTGGTTCTTCAACGAAGCACCAATCAGCAGATCCGCATTCAGTTTTTCCACGCTATCCCTCATCCAATCTCTGGTGGCCAGTAGGGAACAAGCAGAGACATGACTATTGTAGCGTCTACCCGAACCCTGAATCGGTAGGTAGAACAATCGCCCTGAAGCTGATTAAACACAGAACTCAAAAGACAATTTCTCGACATACATTTAATGTCCAAGCATACGCCATATCATAATATGGGCTATTCTAAACTCCAAGTATCCCCCTTAATAACCCCTATAGTACTCCCCTGTTTCATCCCTTATATAACCCCCTTTCAGGAGTTCAGACTATAGTTCATCTCACATTCTATCATTCCCTACCAAGCACCAGCATAATAAAGCATGCCCTGGGCTCCAAGACTGTCTTCGAGCCTTGGCACTGACTGCACGGCCAGAACCGTGGGACTTTCTGGCTCCCACTGAGGGAGGAGCAAAACACTCCTCCATCGGCGCTGCCTTTGCAGCCCTCCGGAGGCTTTGGAAGCGACTTTCAAACCCAAACTCCCTTTGAGGGATTTGTAACGCATCTACGTGGTCGAAGGCCGCATTTAGGCACCTCACTGCTTCACATCTTCAAGCGGGAAGGAACCGAAAGTGCTGATGCAATTGCGTCGATGGAGTGCTGCATCTTGTCCATCTTCTTGTGCAGGTTGTCTATCTCTCCCCGAATCTGCTGGGAGCTGTCTTCAAAGCTGCTCATCCTGGCGTGCAGCCCATGCAGCTGTCCTAGCATCTCTAAAATGGACAGATGCTGAGATAGCGGTTCATCAAATACCACTAAACCCAGTAGAGCTTCGATGAACTCTTCGACTGGCAAGGATGGTTGCTCTTGGCCGGGACGCAGTTTGCTGGCCAGAACGTCGAAGAGCTCCACAAGTCTGGATTCGTTGCTACTTTCGCCTTGCCTCCACTCCTTCTCAATTTCTTCAACCTTCTTTCGGTCGACTTCAGCCTCATTGTATTTCTTCAAAACCTGCTCAAGGGAGGCACAGGTTTTCGTGAACATCTCCTTCCGCTCAACCTGTTTCCGTTTCTTCTGGACGTCCTTGTTCTCAAACAGGATTAGCGGCACTAAGCCCATAAGACCAACCGTGACAATGATCAGGAGGGGCGCAAAAAGCAGTGCCAGCTCAGGTTTTGCAACAACCAGCCTTCGTAGTCCAGAAACCATATTACAACAATATAAAGCTGCCCTTTTTCATGCCAGCATTTTTTTAAAAAGGTCCCAACCTAAACTCTAAACCCTAAACCCTAAACCCCCAAAAGGGGTAAAAGGATACCAGGCTTCCTAGCAGCGGATAATACAGATCTGCGATATTATCGGCGGACACAAACTGCACCAGTGACAGTAGCGCCTTGGGGAAGGAGCCATACCTGTGTTGGACTTTAGGGTTCAGGGTTTGGGGTTTAAGGTTTAAGCTTGGGGCTCAGGATTTCCCAGGTTTTTAACTATGGGCCTCTAGTATGGCCCTCAGTCCCGGAGTCCTTATATAAACCATACTACCCTACAAAACCCGATTAAGTGTCCATAGTTAGGACCCGTGAACAGGTAAGGCCTGTACTAGGGGCCCGTGGTAGGACTGAGATCTAGAGGCACTCAAAATTATCTATGAGTAGGCTCCCTTCTTTGACAGTTTCTGTAAATGGTATTATCCCCCTACATAAGCCCTACAATAGGAACCCTATGTGGTCCCTTAATGGGAGTTGAAACACTAGCTCATATGAGCTATAGTCTAAACTCCTAGTATCCCCTAATATCCCCCCCTATAGTACTCCCCATATTATCCACTAGCCTATAATTATGAAACCCGTTTAAGGAGATTTAGACTATAGCTCATATGAAAAATTACTCCCACAGGGGCACCTAGATTCCCTAAACCTAACTGTAAACAGTGTATCCCGAACCCTAGACCGTAAACCTTGAAGTCAAAACCATAAACACAAAAAGCTAAACTCCAAACCCAGATACTGTTGGAGAACCAGCTTTTGTAGCTCCGGATCTGCCATAATGTCTGAGTCTTGGTTAAGCACCGTGTTGAGGACGCCAGCAAATATAGCCTTGTGGTTTAGGGTTTAGGGTTTAGGGAAATATTGCCCTAGCTGACTCCACGTGAAACTTAAAGCTTTCCCAATATTATATAATCGAAAGGAAAACCAACAACTTGGAATCCCAATATAATCCGTGGAAAGCGCAAACAAAATCTCACGACAATCCACAGGAAGCCCAAAGAACGTATTCTCATAGGAAACCACAAGAAAAACCCAATATAACTCATAGGAATCACCCATATCTAATGTCCTAAGTGACGAGCTGAAGGCAGCCGAACTGCAATGATAATTAGAATGAAGACCACAGCCGCCACAAAGGCCTTTCCGGCATAGATCATGTCATCAAGGAGAACCCAAAATGTATGGAAATACTGCATCTCTTTAGAGAGATTCATGAGCTTCAGCAGGCGAAGCACGCGAACAGTCAGCATGTACCGTTGAAGAGTTGCGCATATGACGCACAAGTCATTGGGGATGAACAGAGCCAAAGCGCCAGTAACTATCAGTGCAAGGTCTAGAAGGGTCTGAGCTGGACGACTGCGCAGCTGACCCGCATGAACTCGAATGAGCCACTCGACGATGTAGAAGATCAGGGCAACACGTTCAACTGTCAAGGTCACTACCGCAATCTCTTGGTACTCCCAAATGCTCTCCACTACAGAGATTACGAGCATGTTCAAGACTACCACTCCGCCCACCAGCCACCTGAATCGCCAATCGAAGACAAGCCGCTGTGACCAACTTTGTTGCTCTTCCGGTTCCGGCAACAGGTGTTGCTTGAAGAACTTCTCCTGCACCAGGAACTGCTGCTTCCGAAGACGGAGATTGGCCTCGGTAGACCTCTTTTGAGGCGATCGTTGCAGGAGCAATGACTCTTCCACAGTCTCCGCCGTGACGACACTTTTCTGGAACATAAGCTGGTATGATCCGGAGCCAGCTGACTTACCTACTTCACAGTTGCGAGTGTCTTCTCTGGGCACAGGAAGATCCACCTGCTGCATATCTGCCCGCTGAAATGCCGCCATTGCAGCACACTTTCTGCAGATGCCCACCGAAACACCAAGTTTTGAGCGTGAAACAAGTTTCTTCTACCTTGGAACTGGAAACGTGGCAGGCAAGTCAACGTGCACTGCAGTCAAGGCTCGAACCCAGTCTTTGAGGTGTCCACAAAACCCAGCGGTACTGCACGAGCTAAACTCTAAACTCTTTAAAAGGGGTATCTAACGGATTGTATAGGAGACTACGAAAGGGGTTGTTTAAGGAGGCCGCTAGGAGTTTAGACTATACCTCACACGGTCTTGGAGTCTTAGAGTGGATAAATGATATTGACCTTGGGGCCTGGGGGCCCGTGGTCAGTTTGATTCATCAGCTTTGGAACCTAAAGTAGCGATTACGCAGCCCCAACCCTAATCCCCTGCAAGTTATTTATAGCCTGAATCCCCAAACCCTAAACCCAAACCCGAAACCCTTGTCCTTCTAGCAGGTCGAAGACAAAGTCGTCATCCTCATCGCCGCTGACGTGGAAAGTTGTACGGACGGAGCTGCTCAGCGTCACTTGTCGACAAAGGGGCTCAAGGCTTTAGAGCCTTGATGTTTTGGGGGGTTTAGGTAGGGTGGGATGAAGGCTTCAGGGCTCTAGGGCTTTAACATTTTAGGGTTGTGGTTATTCCATTCTTGGCCGCTCGAACTCAACCCGACAATTCCAACACGCATCAGCATCCACAGCCCCCTATTTGTACCTGCGCAGCAACACCACCCATGAAATGAATCCTTCGACCATTTTCTTGCCCGGGGTGTAGAAGCTGAGAAACTGCGGTGGCTTAGGGTTTAAGGCCGATAGTCGCGGTTAAGGGTTTACGTCTTAGGGTGAGGGGTTAAGGTCCTTATTAGCGGAACCTGTTTAAAGAGTGCTTCATGAAAACCAGAGAGCGCAGTCCCAATCCCAAATCCACCTAACTACGGCATCCGTCATCCGTCGCGTACATGGGCTCAAAATGGTATGTCTAATCATGTAGCATACATATTCCCTATAAGCTCGTACTAAGAGCAATCTTCCATGTGTTGGGGGATAATACTCCTACACTCTAAACCCTGATGCCTAAACCCTACTCCCTAAGGTATCCCTCAACCCCAAAACGATCATGGCAGAGTGGAATTGCCTCTGTCCCCTCCACCTCCTCTGCCTCCACCTCCTCTGCCGCCTGACACGTTGAGGGTTTGGGAGTATAGGGATGAGGATTTAGGGTTTAGGGTTTGGGATTTAGGGTTTGGGGTCTAGGATTTGGGGTTTAGGGTTTAGTGTGTAGGGGTTGATTTAAGGATTTACGATCTAGGGTGAGATCTGGCTTGTTCCGTGTTGTAGTCTTGCCAGTTCTCGGGCTCAGCATACTCCCCAAGTTCCCTGGACCCAGGACTCCCCGTAGATATGTTACTTTCAGCTGGCTGTCTGGGGTTTAGGGTTTAGGGCTTAGATAACAGAAATGAAAAGATGTTTTCATGGAACTTCCAGACTAAACCCTCAACCCTATAATCTCTAATGCAGACCCCTGATTAATAAACCCCCTCCTTTTTAAGGGCCTTAATCATAAGGATCCCTAGTATAATCCCTATGAAGGGAGGGGGTTAATGAATCACAGGACTGGGCTACACCCGTAACCCTTTTGGGTCGGCAATTTTGCAGGCCAAAGAGCCTTTCACCTGCAAGAGCAGGACGGCACAGGGTGGAACACTAACCCCTGGACTCGAGCCTGAGGGAAACCCTTGCGTTTAGGGTTTAGGGTTTAAGGTTCAGGGTTTAGGGTTTAAGGTTTAGGGTTTTGGGTTTTGGGGTTCAGGGCTTTTTGGGTTCTGACTAAAGCCTGCCCGCACCCTCAACGTATGTAAATCATGGCCGTGTTGACCCCATTCAGGGCTTTCAGACCATCATTTCTACACCTTTTGAGATCCAGGCATAGCGCAACACCCAGAAACCTTAAGAGCGCAAAACACAAGGTAAAGGCCTCAAACTTGTCCACACCCTGGAAGATTTTTTCTAAGAATCTCAGAATCTAGTTTTGAAGCCAGAACCATTAACAATCATACCACCTTGCTAATCAATGTATGCCCAAAACCCCACTCTTCTACTCATATAGGCCCCTACAGTAAACCCGTGGCCTTCTCGATAGTCTGACCGGGGTGGGCCCTGCTGCAAAGGCGTTGCGCAATGGCAGTGGGCAGGGCATGTTGTTTTAGGATTCAGGGGCTCCCAAATACCCAAATAAGGAGGCTTGAGGTGATCAAGCCCTCAACCTCATACCTGAGCCCTAATTAAGCTCATGGGAAAGATGGGGATTGACCCTAAACCCCTTGCTAACCAGGAGAGGAATTTGGGGCTTTAGGATGCTCTACTGCAAGATCTACTGTAAACACATGTGTTGATAAGAACTTGGCACATCAATTCTCAAAACTATAGACCCCTCGTGGGTTGATACCCAGTGCGCCATAGTTATTAATGGACATGGGTCCCTATACGAAAAATATATTAGGGACTTACCCTAAATCCTACGAAAATATACTAGGGACTGACGCTAACCCCGAACCCTCACCAGACTACCAAAGGGACCTCTATGTCCACCTTGAAATAGGCCTGAGTAAGCCTAACACTGACAGTGGCTCATATAGAAAGGAGTTCCCAAAATAAGCCATCGTCAAAAAAATCCTAGCACCCCCTTCATAGTCCCTATTGTAGTCCTCTATACAACCTGTCTTAATTCAAGGAGTTTAGGCTATGGCTCAAAGGATGGTTCCCTTACAAGGGGCTCTGGGCCATGCGGACTATCTTGGCTTTGGGGTTGTAATGCAAGGGGACCCCTAGTTTGAGAGCGTCTGTGCTAAACCCTAACCCGAAACATAGGGTTGTATAGGGTTTAGGGTTATATAAAGTTCATGGCTATATAAGATTTTGGGTTATATATAGGGTTTAGGGCTTTGGGTAGCCCTCCTGTGGACCCGTGAGATGGGAGATGAAGAGAACGCGAACTATTGAAGGATTAAGGCAATGCTCTGGGCTCTTTCTTAGGGGATATGGACACAAAGATCTTTTGTTGTACTCCTCCCTGGGATTGTGGGTTCAGGGCCTAGGGTCAACATCATGTCCAAAAAATGAAAACCTACACACTTCCTCATTCAGCTGCGCCAAAGCTCCAGTCGTGAAATATTACACGGGGAAGGCTGCTGTCAAAGGACTTGCTCTACAAGTTGCGCTGAACTGTGCAGTTTGCAGCTGCAGCCCGCAGGCGATGAAAGGCTTGCAAAGTTAGGGCTCTTAGACGTGGGGCTGGGGGTTTAGGGATTGGGGCTTCGGATGGTTTGTTTTGGGGACTCGACTACAATCTCCCAGATCTAACATGCAATCCCCGTGAGCCCATGATAAACTGGACAGCAGTGTTTGTTGGTGCCTTTTTGGGGTTGCACGTCATCTCGGCGCAGGGTAGTGTCCCGACACACCAACTACACTCACAGTTGTTCTGAGCTCGAGATAAAGTTTCTCAATATAGGGGGCCCCCTGAACCTTAAACCCTAAACCCTTACCAGCCGTAGGAATATATCGGGATGATAAGGGGCTAGTGGGTTCTTCACCAGGGCATATATGCGGAATACATTGGACAACTCTAATTTAGATACGTTGGGCACATGTTGCGCAAGGGTCCAGGGATTAGCCAAATTTGAAGCGGAGACTTCTGTAGTTGAGCTAAACCCTAAACTCTAAACCCTAAACCCCTAAACCCCTAAACCCTAAACCCTCCAACCCCTGTAGCCTGTGGCCCGCTTTCAAGCTCCTGCTCACCAGATCGCAGCGCTGAACTTGAAGCGACAAAAAAACTCAACCCTTCTAGCTCTAACAGCCTTTTGGCGGTGTGATATACTACATCAGGGATTTGAGGGGATCACGCTACTGCTACAATCCTGCAGAATTCTACAGGAAGAACCCACTGCACCTTGATTTGAGGAATTTACATCAAATAGTTCTTAATCATACGATTTAGGAAATATTTCTAAGCGAATTGGTATTGGACTTCCTGGGTACAGGGCAAACTCTGCACCTCGTCGCGCCCATACCGTGGACCAGCACCATTGGAGGCACCTGCGCAGCGGCTGAAATGCCCAATGATTGGACCAACCCGCCTTCTGACCCCTAAAGCCTAAACCCGAAACTCCAAATCCTGTGCTGAATGTAGTGAAACTTCAAGATGGTAATGCAGGTAGTGCCTGTGAAAAAAACAACACGTTCAGATGCGCTGACGGGAACAACCCAGGCACCCTGGCAAAAAAGGAGGATTTCACGACCTACGGTTTGTGAGCAGAGGATGGAGGCACAGATGGCTATAGTAGCCCATTGATTAATCATCCCGAAAAATACAATGGTCCTCTCAACCTTGACCCTGAAGACCCCATTTTCTTTTCCACTCCTTCATTCCCAACTTACAACCAGCTAATAGAACCCATGATCCCTCAAATATATACCCTATTATAACATCGTAGTTTCCATTTTCTTTTCCATTATCCCTATATAACCCCTATATAACCCTTATATAACCCAGTTTATAATTCAATTTCATGTCTTTTTCCAGTAGATTT